GGGTCCCCAGCCCCCCCCCCCCCCCCCGCCCTCTTCCCCACCTACCTCAGCCGGGTCAGGCGCGGGGAGGGACCAGCCAGATTGGGCAGCCACCCCCGCCCCCAGTACTTTCCGCCTCAGCTGCCAAACTGGTCCCTCTATCTCCCTGGGGCCTTGGGTTCTGTTTGGGGGTCGTGACCTCCCTAGTTTCCTGACGCAGGGCATGCAGAAGGGGGGTGTCCCCTTCAGCAAACGCAATAATACCCTCCCCCTGCGCCACCTCTGTCCCCCCCAGAGGATCCCCCACTGTGGAGTCTGTTACCTCTGCATTTGAAACATGAGTCTGCTGTGAAGCCCCCAGACGCTCTCCCTCTCCTGCCCCCCTGTGTCTCCCTCAGCTCAGCCCCGGACAGAAGGGGCAGGAGGGATGATGGAGGTGGGCTTTCATATCTGAATTTGCCGTCTGGAAGATAAAGAATCTGCTGTTGGACCTGTGTGGCGGCTTCGGGGTGGGAGAGGAGGGTGGGCCGGGGCTGGGAAAGAATGCAGCAGCTGAAATCCATCCTCTTTGGGCTCCAAATTGAATTAGGAGCTGGCCCCAGCCGCCCGCCCCCTCCCACCCGTTCCGCCTGAGGAAGCTCTTGGCTGCAAGCCACTAGGCTTCCAGGCAAGGCCGGAGCTTCTCGGCCTGCTGAGGGTGCAGATCTTGCTTCCTCTCGAACAAGGCTCTTGCCACCCCTGGCCTGATGCGAACAGTGGGCAGGAGGCTGTGGGTCCTTGCCTGCTCCAACCCAGGGCCCTGGAGAGCCCCAGGGCCAGGAGGCATGGAGAAAGAAAGATGGGGTGGGCTTAAGATGGAGTCTCAGGCCTGCCCCGCTGTGTGCTGATGGAGAGGAACCCCACCCCGAGGCTGGGGGGGAGGAGTCATGATGCACCCCGGCCTCAGCTGACGCTGGACGTGTGGGGTCTGCCAGCGTCCACGGAGCGCCATACTTTGTGCCGGATGTGCTTGTTTTGACAACCCGCTTCATCCTTAAGGATTAAGGCAGGGATCAGGGAAGGGCGGGGGTGGCGTCCTGGCCAGACCTGGAGGGAAGAGCGAGGATTGAAGTGGGGGAAACCAGGCCAGAGGTCCCCACAGGAATGTTTGGGGCCAAGTTGAGAGGGGAGGTCTAAGCCCGCCCGCTCCCCATTTCCAACATGCAGGCAATGGGCCCTGGGAGGGGGCGGTGGGGAGGACCACCTGGACGGGGGCTGGGACGGGTTACTCTGGGCATCCCTGGGCACCTGTGGGCACTTTGTGTGTCTGTGCTAATATACAGTTCCGGTTGTGAAGGGGTGAGGCTGTGTGAGTCTGGGTGTTGAGGTAGGACTGTGTCTCTCAGAGTGTTGGTGGTTTGTGACTGTGTTGAGGGAATGGGGTGTGATGACTGTCTTCGCGTTCCAGGGTGTTTGTGGATGTCACTGGCAGGGCTTCTGTGTGGAGTGTGGCCGTGTGACGCCATGTGTGCCTCTGGGTGTTGCTGTTGCTAGGGTGGGGGGGGGTGACCGGCTAGATCTCGGGGTGTCCAGGGGGTGCCACTCCTTGTGTCTTGGGTGTATGTGGTGTGTACCTGTGGGGCCTGTCTTAGACTGTTAGGGGGCGTCTCTGGGTGATATTGGGGTGTGGCTGGGGGCTGTGTCAGTGGGAACAGTTGTGTGCACCGCTCAAGGTGCTGAGTGAGACTACATTTGCCAGCACTAAGGGGTGTGATGGTCTGTCTCAGAGGGGGCTCTATTTCGGGGTGTTAGCATCGGTAACTGTGGGCCCATCTTTGGTGCTAGAGGTGAGACCGTCTCAGTGTGACGATGGCTGACCCCAAGGCACGTGGCTGCTGCTGAGCTGGGAACAGGCCATGACGGTGGGGGGGTCTCAGGGTGTTAAGGGATATGATTGTGTATCTTCAAGTGTGTGACTGTGTGTGTGCTGCTCAGGGATGCGATCCTACTTCTCAGGGCAGGAGGTGAGGATGCAGCTGAGTGCCCACAGGTGTGGCTGTCTGTGGCTTGGGACGTGTGTGTGCTCATCGCAGCCTAAAGCAGGATCTAGGAGACAGTCCACTGGTCACCGATCTTCCCGGTTCCCCTGCCCCCCTTCAGCCTCCTCCCTCTTCCCTCCCAGAGTTTGACTCCCTGCAGCCCTTGCCTAGGCTTTAAGCCCCTGTGTAAATAATGGGCGGATCTCCTGGTCAGGCTGGGCATGACCCAAGCTGGTCCACCCAGGGCACTGCCCACCGCCACCCACCCAACATGCATGAAGGTTCTGGCAGGGCAAGGGGGTGCTGCTGTCCCCACGCAGGGCTAGCCCTCCAACCTTGCGGCCCCGGTGGGGGTAGCAGAACCACTAAGCCGCCCCAGCCTGCCCTGGGCGACACTCACGTTTTCCACTGTTTAGATTTTATCCGCTTTATTAATGAGGTAGGCGAGAGGCCCACGCCTGGGAGGGAATGGGGCTGCTCCCGCCCCACCAGTGGGAGCAGGTCACGGGGGCCAGGCCAACTTCCCAGAGCCCCCCTTACTCAGGGGAGCTGGGGCCTGGAGCGGCGCATGACCATTGCCAGGAGTACAAAAAGGGGGTGTCTGTCACCCCAGGTCCCCTGAAGGCGTGTGCTGGGTGGAACGGCCCCTGGAGGCTGGAGCGGGCAGCGGGAGGAGGCTGGGAGCGAGGAGCCGCCTGGGGAGGGAGGGAGGGAGGGAGGGAGGGCGGAGAGCTTGGGCGCAGCAGGCTAGGGCGCAGCAGGGCAGCCGGTGCAGCGGGGCAGCAGGGACCAAGCGGCAGGCGATGGGGACCCTGCGTCCCAGGCAGCTCCGGGTAAGAAGGCTGGGGCATGAGGATCTCCAGTGGGGAAGGCATGAAAGGATGGGGCCATGGCTCCCCCAGCCTGTCCTTCCTGTGTTCCTTAACTCTCAGCCCATCTCTCTGTCCCTTTTGATCTTACTGTCTGTCCAGCGTCCCTTCGCATATGACCTAGCAGGCAGTTCTGACCTCTCAGCCCTCACCAGGGGCTATCAAGGAATGGGTGGTGATGGGTTAGCCTTGAGGCCTCTGGGGCAGGGACATGAAGCTGGCAGGAGCGGAACTGTGGGCATCCAGGGTGAGGCAGCAGTGGGCAGAGGTAGGGCCTGGGTGAGAGAGAGCGATGGGGCTCAGAGATGGGAGTGTGGGGGACAAGGATGGGGCTCTGGGGACGGGGACAGGGCTGTGTGGACAGAGATGTGGCCAAGGGGACAGAGATGGGTTTATGGGAACAGGAATGGAGCTGTGGGGACAGGGATGTGGCCCTGGGGAAAGAGACAGTGTGGTGGGGAGAGATGTGCCCAAGGCGGCAGAGGTGGGGTTGTGAGCATCTAGGATGGGACTGGAGTAAAGGTGACATAGTGATGGTCAAAGATGGGGCAGTGGGGTCAGATGGTGCCCTGGGATTAGAAATGGGTCAGTGGGGGGCTTCCCTGGTGGCGCAGTGGTTGGGAGTCCGCCTGCCGATGCAGGGGACACGGGTTCATGCCCCGATCCAGGAGGATCCCGTGTGCCGTGGAGCGGCTGGGCGCGTGAGCCATGGCCTGTGGGCCTGCGTGTCCGGAGCCTGTGCTCCGCAACGGGAGAGGCCACAACAGTGAGAGGCCCGCGTACCGCAAAAAAAAAAAAAAAAAAAAAAAAAAAAAAAAGAAAGAAAGAAAGAAAGAAATGGGTCAGTGGGTATCAGATGGGGCCGGGGGCCAGGAATTGGCTGTCAAAATGGGAGGTGGGTGTCAGAAGTGGGTGAGTAAAGCCCAGAGGTGGGGTCAGAGACAGGTGAGGCTGAAGCCAGGTGACCCTGGTGGACAGGGCAATGAGAGAAGACTGAGGCCTGGAACAAGAGATGGGCTGGTAAGAGGAAGAGGACGAGTGGATCAGGAATGGGGCAGCCAGAGTCACTTGGAGTTGCCATGGACAGAGGGTCCATAGAAGAACTCCATGGGGTCAGATGGGTCCTGACGGTCTGAGACGCGGCCACCAGCTGGTCCCAGGCCAATGGTGGAACCTCACCTCCCCCCCCCTCCTCTCCCCAGCCCCACCCCCGGCACCTGACATGAGCCCTTGCGGGCCCCGCAACCTGAGCCTGGCGGGTGAGGCGACCACGTGTCCAACAGCTGGGGCCTCCAACGCCTCCGCCGGACCGCCGTCGGACCTGGCGGGCGCGTCGCCCGCGCTGCCCATCTTCTCCATGACGCTGGGCGCCGTGTCCAACGTGCTGGCGCTGGCACTGCTGGCGCAGGCCGCGGGCCGTCTGCGGCGCCGCCGCTCGGCAGCCACCTCCCTGCTGTTCGTCGCCAGCCTGCTGGCCACCGACCTGGCGGGCCACGTGATCCCGGGTGCGCTGGTGCTGCGCCTGTACGCGGCGGGGCGTTCGCCGGCCGGCGGCGCCTGCCACTTCCTGGGCGGATGCATGGTCTTTTTCGGCCTGTGCCCGCTGTTGCTGGGCTGCAGCATGGCCGTGGAGCGCTGCGTGGGCGTTACGCGGCCGCTGCTGCACGCAGCCGGCGTCTCGGTGGCCCGCGCGCGGTTGGCTTTGGCCGCGCTGGCCGCCGTGGCCTTGGCCGTGGCGCTGCTGCCGTTGGCGCGCGTGGGCCGCTACGAGCTGCAGTACCCGGGTACGTGGTGCTTCATCGGTCTGCGCCCGACGGGAGGCTGGCGCCAGTCGTTGCTCGCCGGCCTTTTCGCCGGCCTCGGCTTGGCCTCGCTGCTCGCCGCGCTCGTGTGCAACACGCTCAGCGGCCTAGCCCTGCTGCGCGCCCGCTGGTGCCGCCGCTCTCGACGGCACTTCCCGGCTGGAGGCCTCGACAGCCGCCGTCACTGGGGAGGGCGCGGACCCCGCCCGGCCTCCGCCTCGTCCGCCTCGTCCGCCTCGTCCGCCTCTTCGGCCTCCGCCGCCCCCGGCGGCTCCCTGGGCCGTGGCTCAGCGCGGCGAGCCCGTGCCCACGATGTGGAGATGGTGGGCCAGCTCGTAGGCATCATGGTGGTGTCGTGCATCTGCTGGAGCCCCCTGCTGGTGAGGGGCGCACATGCCCCCTCCAACCCTGCTCCTTCCCACGCCCTCCGTGACCTCTCCCACCCTTTTCCATCCTGGGATACCTGGGTCCTCTCTCCCTCACCCAGCCAGGGCACTGCCCCCTCGAGGCCCCACCTGCCAGAGTCCACCCTTCGCCCTCTTCCTCTGACGTCCCACTCCTCCTCCTAGTCCCCGTATCTTACTCCTTCCTGGGGTCTTTGTAGTTCACCCGACCCAGGCAAGGTTCCCCTCCAACCCCACCCACCTAAGTGCTTTCATTCCCTGGCTTCCTTCCACCATCACCACCCCTTTTCTCTTCTCCCCTTCAATCCCCTGTCCTTTGGGATACCTGGGACTTCTTTCCTGCCCAAGCACACACCCACTGAAGGCCTTTGCTTCTGCCACGCTCTCTAAGGCCCCCACTTCTCCCCTCTCTCCACAGCTCCTTCCCAATTAGATTCCCATTTACCCTCCCCGTGACGTTCCGTCCATCCTCACAGCCTCCTTACCTTCAGACACTCTCCCATCCATCTCAGCCCTACCCTTCACCGGTGCCCTTTTCTTACACCACCCACCGCTCACACTGTCTTCTCCCACAGGTGTTGGTGGTGCTGGCCATCGCGGGCTGGGGCTCCAGCTCCCTGCAGCAGCCGCTGTTTTTGGCCGTGCGCCTCGCCTCGTGGAACCAGATTCTGGACCCCTGGGTGTACATCTTGCTGCGCCGGGCTGTGCTTCGCCAACTGCTTCGCCTCCTGCCTTCAAGGGCAGGTGCCAAGGGCAGCCCCAGGGGGCTGGGCCTAATGAGGAGCGCTTGGGAGGCCAACTCGCTGCGCAGCTCCCGGCACAGTGGCCTCAGTCACTTCTAGGCGCGCCCGGCGGCTAAGCCAGACCACCCGGGGCCGGCCTCTGGTCCGCAGCTCGGAGACTTCGGGGAATAAAAGCTTTTTGCGGACAACCCCAGGGCGGTGCGTCCCGTCGGGGATGCAGCACCCTCGCGGCCGCGCGGGAGCGGCAGAGGTGCTGTGTACGCCTCCGGGGTGTGCAGTTTCGGAATTAGCCACGCGGGGGCGTAGAAACGCAGAGCCGGAGTCGCAGGAGCACGCGCACAACGCCGTGGCCGCAGTCCTGGGGCGGTGGCTCGGCTGGGAGCAGAGTGGGAGGGTTGGGGGCCGCTCTTCGCCCCTGCTGCCGTCATGAGTGACTTCCGCAACCATTCGCTCACTGTGGCCCTGAGCTCCTCCACACAACCCCAAGTCCCTACCCCCCAAACTATGCCCCATCACTGGCCTCTAACCCCGGAAGTCCCTCAACACAGCTCCGAGCCCTCTCCCATGGCGGCCTGCCCATGCTCCCCACCGTAACAACAGCCCCGAGCCTCCACCATCCCTTGGCCCCCTTCAAACGATCCCCCACCATATTCCAGGGCCTCTCCCCATCACTCCCTACGGCGCCGGCCACCCATCACATCCCCTCCCAACTCTCCCCACCTCCAAGCACGCCCCCCCACCCCCATTACTGCGCAAGAACGGGCGGAGATGCATGGATAGAGCAAATCCCAAAGGCCTTTTTAAAAACTGACAGCTCGGTGGGGGCAGAAGTGGGGGAGGGGCTAGCAGCCCCCGGCCACAAAGTCGAAGTCCCGGAAGGCTGCCTGCTCTGTGGCCGTGAGGGGCCGAGCGTCGCGGGGTGGGCTCAGCGTGGGGGCCTCCCCTGTGAATTCCTCGTCAAAGTTGCTGACATCAGTGCGGCCAGCCAGCGTGGGTACGAAAGGCGGCGGCAGGCGCCGGGCCAGCAGGGCATCCCAGCCCAGTGTCTGCAGGGCAGAGAGGGGAGAGGTCAGCAGGGGAGGCTCAGAGCACAGCGCAGGAAGGCTTTGCTCCTTGCACCCTGTCTGGCCTTGGATCTGTGGGGATCAACACAGGGAGTCACAAGATAGAGGGAGGGAAAGTGGCGGGCCTGGGGGCTCAGGAAGGATCACCGTATGAGTGGGGGGAGGGGCCTGGGCTCATACACAGGGCAATGCTCCCCCCCGCAGGCCAGCCTGGAGTGGATGTGGGTGTAGGAGGTCCAGTGAGGGTAAGGGAGGGGGAAAGAAAGGCAGGCAGGTGTCAAGGGAAGGTGACAGTGTTGGAGATGAAGCCACTAGGTCTTGGGTGGGGGGGATGACTGGGTCCTGGGAGTGGGGGACTTCACCCTGAAGAAAGGCTGTTTTTTCACATCCTCTGCATCCCTCTCGCTGGATCCCAGCCTCCGCTCTGGATTCCTCCGCAGCAGCTGCGGGGAGGGAGTTCTGTGTCAGTGTTCCTCTTGCTAGTCCCAGAGCCACTCCCCTGGCCCACCCTAAGTTGGGGGGGTCCTCACCCTGCGCATGATGCCGATGGCTTCAGCTGACAGGAAGCGGGGGTACCGAACCTCATCGTTGACGATGCTGTCGAATACCTCCTCCTCGTCGTCCCCTGGGAACGGAGACTGGGGACAGGAAAAGCCAGGGTGAATTAGGCCCCTCTGGCCACACCACACCCAGCTCCACCCTGGGCTCCCGTTGCACTTTTACAAGGTTCGCTTGGGAGGGTAAGTACCCCAATTTACAGATGCAGAAACCAAGGCTAGGGAGGCAAAGCCACCTGTCCTCAATCAGACAGCACATAGCGGAGGCCAATTCTGACCCCCCTCTCCCCCTCCGGGCATATACAGGTTACCGGGAACAGGCAGGGCAGAGCGGCCTGGGGCCTCACCTCACCAACCAGCATCTCATACAGCAGCACGCCCAGCCCCCACCAGTCCACCGCCCGAGTGTACGATGTGTCTGTCAGCACCTCAGGTGCCAGGAACTCCGGGGTCCCGCAGAAAGTGCTGGTCCGGTCTCCATAGCCCATCCCTGGGGGCAGCAGGGCCATGTGAGGTTATGGCGTACGTCACAGCTCTAGCCTAGCCCAGCCCAGCATGGGGTGGTCCAGACAGACAGCCCCGTCCCAGGACCAGGGTAGGGGATAACCCAGATAGGGCTGGGGACTCCACTCCCTCCCCTCTCTGTCTAAACCCCAGAGGCCAGCCCCTCAGATCCCAGTCCCCGTCCGTCCCCCCCCCCCGCTCATCACCCTCCTTGCAGAGGCCAAAGTCTGCAATCTTGACATAGCCCTCGGTGTCCAGGAGCAAATTGTCCAACTTCAGGTCCCTGTGGGGGAGGGGATGGGAGGATGTAAAGAGGGACGAGTGGGAATCTGGGTCCTGCCTGAAGCCTCAGAGTCCCCCAGTGGGCGGAGCATGCATGCACGGGTATATGCGCACATGCGTGCGCGCGCACACACACACCTGTAGACAATCTTGTGTTCATGGAGAAACTGCAGCCCCAGCACCACACAGGCCGAATAAAAGCTGCAGAGAGAGGCCGGTGTGAGGGAGCTGGGCTTCCAGGAAAGGTAGAGGGTCACATAAGGCTCTCACATCCTCAAAAGCCCCCCCCATTACCCCATAACTCCAAGAGCTGGGGGGAGGCAGGGCCTGTGGGTGGAGGTGTGGGGTGGGGGACTAGGCTCACACAGCACGGGGCTCCGAGAACACATCACTGTGGATGTGCAGCATCAGGTCCCCGCCGGCCGAGTACTCCATCACGAAGCACACGTGCTCTGCTGTCTGGAAACAGCCAAACAGGTTCACCAGAAAGGGGTGTCCCGCGCTGGTCACAGCCGCCAAGATCCGCTTCTCACACATCAGGCTGGGCAGGATGGGGGTGGGGCAGGGGTCAAAGACCACAGCAGCTCCCTACCACCAACTCGCCCACCCGCTAGAGTCCTCAATCATCAGATGTTTGTCAAGGGCCTTGCATGGCTGTGCACACCTGGGCAAGTTGCTTAATGCTTCTGAACAGGCACCCAGAATCCATCCATTGTCCTAGTAACAGTCCTAGTAACTTCCCTTTGGGAAACCACCAGAGGGACTGTTATTTCCCTTTGGAGCACCCCATCTCCCTGGCCAGGAATTGGCCCACAAAAGGGCAAGCCAAGCCAATGGGGCTCAATCTCGGGATTTCTGCTGGAATTATTAAGGTAGAGAGCTAAAGTTTGCAGATGAGCCTTAAACTGCTAAGGTGGGGGGCATCTCTGTCCCTGTGAGGGGACTGCAAGCAAAGCCCACACAGACAAAAGCAGAAGTGAGAGATATCAACTGAGCACCTGTGTACAGCCATGACTGAAGGTAGTCCACCCCTGGACTTTTCTGATGCAGAGCAATAAATTCCTGTATTTGCTTAAGCGTAAATTGGGTTCCTGGTTAATAAAAGGATGTCAATAAGATTGGCGACAATCTCAGGTACCTACAGGGGGCAAGGCACTGTGCAGAATGCTCTAGAGTCATCCTCTCATTCATTCCACCCGGCAACCTTGCAAGAAAGGCATTATTACTCCCCTTTTCTAGAAGGGGAGCCTGAGGTTCAGAAGGGTGAAATGAACTAACTCCCTAAGGTTTCTAAGCACATCTGTAGCAGAGGTAGGATCTGAACTCAGGGTCCTGACCCCAAAGCAGAGGCAGTACAATGGCACCATTAATAGCACAGGCTTCAGAACTCGAGTCCCTAAGTTCAAATCCCAGACCTGCTGCTTACTGGCTATGTGACCTTGGGCAATTTGCTCAAACTCTCTGTGCCATCAGCAGAATGGGGACAATAACAGTACTTACCTCTTAGAGCTGTTGTGAGGAATTCGTTACTAAATGTAAAGCACACAGTGGGTGCTTTCTAGGAGTCGTTATTATTGTAAGTATTGGGGTGGCCAAAAAGTTCGTTCGGGTTCTCCTGTAATACAGAAAATCCCGAACGAACTTTTTGGCCACCCCAATACTAGCTTAATAAGTACAAGTGACTGTTATGAATCACTCTCACAGCAGCTCCAAGGAGGGGACTGCTCTGTCTCCCATTTCCCAGAAGACGAAAGTTCTCAGAGGGCCTGAGCAGGGTCCCCACCTCTCCACCTCGTCTCGGGCCACAATGTCCCCTTTCTTCAAAGCCTTGATGGCAAACAGCTCCCCACTGGGCCGGAATTCGGAGAGCAGCACCTGGAACCACAGTGGGCAGGGGTGGCCTTAGTGGCCGGTCCAAGGACCTGGAGGTCTGGACCCCCCAGACCCCCAACTCCTTGCCCCCCGCCTCACCTTCCCAAAGTGACCCCGGCCCAGCACCGCCAGGAACTGGAAATCCTCGAGGGTCAGGGGTGACTTCCTCAGAGGGCTGTGGAAAGAGGAGGCTGGTGGGGAAGTGACAGTGGGCAGGGGTGGTGGGTGGTGGCCAGGGGAGGGGTGTCACCTGCACAGGGTGGGGCCTGGGATCTCCTGGGTCTCTGAAGGCAGCTCAGGAGTGGTGGTAGTTTCCTGGATCAGAGAAGTCTGTGGCAGACAGAGGAGGTCAGAGTACAATAACCCGTAACTACAACAGCCACCAAGGCTCTTGTCACCAATGTGACCTCACCTCTCCTCTCCCTCCCCTCCTCACTCAATCCCCCTTCAGCCACACTGTTCCATTCACTGTGCCCTGAACACACCAGGCATGTTTCCACCCCAGGACCTTTGCATGGGGCTGTTCTCTCCACCAGGAACTCTCTTTTCCCAGCACCTGCACTGTTCCTCCCTCACCTGCTTCAGGCCTTTATTCAAATGTCACCTTGGAAGGTGGCCAGTTGACCGCCATATTAAATAACTAACAGAAGCTCCAACACTCCCTGTCCCCTTTATTTTTCTTCCCAGCACATTCTATGCTCTATTTTATCATTTATCTACTTATTCCCTTTATTGGTATTAGGGAATACCATGGAGTGACCTAATTCTTTACATCATACGCATATATAACTTTGAGAAGAATCAAAATTCATAATTTAAGTGGGAAAAATTTACCTACTGGTCCATCATTCTCCACTATAGAGACAGTTCTAAAGATTCAATCAGCGCAAACAGGTGTACAGTAGGAAACACAGTCCTCTCCTGCCCCAGCTGCCCTCCCCAGAGCCAGCTGCTGTTAATGATTTCGTGGGTACCTTTCTAGATGTATTTTATACCATTCAAGCATTTTGGTGGACGTGTGTGAATGTCCATCATAGATGTCCAGGAGTGGAACTTCTAGGTCAAGGTAACGCCCACTTTTTTAACTCAGCCAGCTGTGCCCTCCGAAGGAGATGTAGTGATTCACGTGCTATTTTCCTGCATCCTCCCCAGCATTCAATGTTATTCAACTTTTGTATTTTTTTTGACAAACTCATCTAATTTAATGAGGCATCTCCTTTTAATTTAATGCCATGAAGCATATATTATTGTTTCCATTTTTTTTAGAAAATGAGGTGTAAAATGCACTCAGTGAGGTGGGCAATGGAAAGAACTCTTGCATACATATCTACCCAGATGCCCGTCGCCTAGACCAAGGGTTGGTAAACTCCATGTTTTGTACAGTCTGTAAACTAAGAATGAGTTTTACGTTTTTAAAGGGTTGGGGGAAAAAAATCAAAAGAAGAATGGTTCATGATCCATGAAAGTGACAGACATTCAGTAAGGCTTCCTGGCGCACAGCAACACCCCTTCATGTCTGCCTGTATCAGGTGTGGCTGCTTTCTACGAGAGCAGCATTGACTAGTCATCACTGTGACCTTCCGGCCCACAAAGCTGAAAATACTGACTATATGGCCCTTTCCAGAAAAAGTGTGCTGACCTCCAACCTAGATCAAGATGCAGGCTCTCTTGTGTCCCCCCTCCTATCAATAAACCCCTGCCCAGAGAAAACCACTAACTGGACTTCTGTCATCGACTTGAGTTTTAAACGTGATCGTTTTACAGGGCAGTGTACCAAACACAGAGAGGTGAAGCTGCTTGGCGTGAGTCACACAGCTAGGAGGCAGCAGAGCAGGGACGGGACCCAGGTGGCCTGGCTCCCAAGCTCATGTTTTTACCCGGGATAGAGAACGGGACCCCGGTCCTGGCAGAGGTGTGCTGGGTGACCAGGGAAGTTCCTGGCGATCTCTGGGCCTTGAGTGGCAGTGGAGGTCCCATAACACTGCCCAGCCCAAGGGGGAAGCTCACCAGACTTGATGGGCTGGAAGGAGGACCCAGAGGGCTCTTCGGGGGTGAGCCGTCCAAGTCAACCCCGAGGTTCAGCTTCTCCACAGATACGTCACTGCAGCAAAGGGAGAGGGTGCATCTAAGACCTAGCATTCTGGGAAGCAACCAGAGGCAGCCGGAACTCCGGGGCCCTCCCTCCTTACCCTGTGGACCGAGCCTCGGGTCCTGCAGAAGCCCCAGGGCTGAAGGTGCCTGTGGCAGTGGCATTGGGGATGAGCCTGCGAAGCAGGCGCACCCAGGTGGCGACGTCGATGTTCATCTGCCTAGCGCGCTGAAATGCCTTCCCTGGGGAGACGGGGGCAGGTGTCACCCTGTGTGATACTCCCGGGACGGCTGGCCTCTCCCCCGCCCCAGCCCAGCCCCTCACCTTGCTGCTTGGAGAAGATCTTCCTCTGCCGTCGGAGCCGCGGGATCCTCTCAATGACAGGGTTGCGGAAGGTGACCTGAGGGAGGGGCTCGCGTGAGGACCCTCGCCCGCCTCCAGGCAGCTTGGTGGGGAAGCCCTTAGGGTCACAGGTGTGCACACCCATACGTATCGGGGGTTCTGATCGCTGTGGCATTGCGTCCAACCACAGAGTACTATGCATCCTATTAAGGGGTCATAAAGCCAATCCATCCTTCGACAGGACCGCCTCCTGAAGTGCCACCTTGGAAAGGCAAGAAGTAGGCAAGCAGGCCCTCCTCCAGGGGTGGGGAGTGGGTCTGATCCAACGAGATGTACATACAACTCCAGCAAACAGGTCCTACACTTCACCTAGTGTCCCGATTGCCCAAGTGTGGTCCCAGACCAGCAGCATTAGCATCACCTGGGAACCTGCTGGAAATGCAGATTCTCAGCGCCGCCACCCCAACCTGGACCCACTGAATCAGAAACACCGGCGGTGGAGCCCACAAGTCTGTGTTTCAACAAGCCCTCCAGGTGATGCCGGCACCCACCCACGTGGGGAAACCACTGGTCGAGTTGAATTCTCCCGACTCCAGCGCATCTTCTAGAAGGCGCTGGAGTCACAGAACTCTGTGGCTTTATGGGTGTCCAATCTGGTCACCTCTAGCCACATGTGGCTATTTCAATTAAGTAAAATGAAAACGTCAGTTCCCCCAGTCACACTAGCCACACTTCAACTGACTAGCGGCTACTGTATCGGATGACACAGATATGGAACATTTCTACCTACAACAGAACTCAACTATTGTAGGTTCACTGACAACAGAACTGCAGAAAGTCCTACAGGCTGGTGCTCTGGGGAGAACAAAATAGAGTGTTATGAGTAAACCTTGAAGGCAAGAAGGACTGCCTCAGAACTTGTCCCCCAGGCCACCCACCTCTATCGTCCACTTGGGTTTTGGACAGTCTTCCTAATAGAAGAATAATTTCGTGGCCCTACCATCTGAAGTCTGCCCTTCTCTGCTCCTTTCCTTCAGGAGTCCTCGATTATGAGATCACATAAGAATTTCCACCTGGATAGTAAAACAGCCCTTGAATATTTTAAGAATTTTTCTAGATACGTTTTCAAGAAAAAACTACGTGTTGGGAATTAGTGAAAATTTACTAATGTTTTTTTTTTAATTTTGAAAGCACTTTTTAGTGAAAACTTAGAGTGATATATATTTGGTCTCTGGCAACCAAGGAAAAGCTTCTTTCAGGTTAATCTTTAAACTCACTTGAACCCAATGACTCACTTGATACTTATCCCACTCCCGAAAACAGAGTTCATTATACAGCTGTATTTTATACTGTGCATTGTAAACTGTTTCTTTTTCACGTTTCTGATCTCTTTCACATGGTCTGATCTTCTTGCAAAGAGAAGTGGTATTTAAAAATCTAAGCAAGTAGCAAAAAAAAAAAACAACAAATTTCTTCCTGGGTTTAAGGACATGGGGAGACACACACATACACACACACGTATACATATATACAAAAAACAGGACACATGTATATGTTAGGGGCAAATTTAAAGAATTTTTGAGGATATTTCTGGTTAAATGAGGGCGCCAGTGACTTTCTTTCCCTGTGCCTCATTTCCTCCTCTATCAGATGTGACTGATAACAGCCCTGTCTGCATTGGGTTATTGTGAGGATTAACAAGTCAATGCCAGCACAGCACTTTGGACAAGGCCCAGCCATACTACAAGGGGTCAGCTACGAATGTTATTTAGACAATGGGCTCTTAATCAGGGGACCCTGGCCGTGTCTGGAGATATTTTTGGTTGTCACAACTTGGAGCAGGGGGTTGCTACTGGCATCCTGTGGGTGGACGCAGAGGATGTTGCTCAGCACCCTACAGTGCACAGGACGGCCCCTGCAACCAAGAATGATCCAGCCCAAATGTCCATAGTGCCAAGGGTGGGCTACCCCGATCTGGACCCTAACCCTGACATCACTGCGGAAGGAATCTCTCTGCTCAGCTGTGGCTCTGGTGGCAATCTCCGTAATATGTTGCTAGGTTTTGCTTTTCTTTTCTAGCTTGACAAAAATTTTTTTTTCTTTTTTTAATATCTTGTTTCAGAACAAAACCAATCCCAGCTTAAGTCATGCATTGATGTGACTAATTATATGTACTTTTCTATCGAGATTCAGAGACCAGAGGAAAACACATCTTCCCCTTCCAGAGCAGGAGACGCCAAAGCATTTTCTCAGGGGCGGGGTCAGGCTGTACCTCAGCCACCAGGCAGCCCTGAGGTTCCATGTCCAGCTGCACTTCATGCCTCTCGTTGTCCAAGAAGTCCTCCAACTTCAGGAATTTGAGGGCACACAGGCCCCGCTGGTCCCGCCAGAACACAGCCAACTCCAGCTCCCGTGCCTCAAGGGAGAGAAAGAGGGCCGTCCTTTGGGGTACCCGAGGCCTCAAACTCCTCCTCGTCCAAGCCCTGTCATCCCCTAACCGAACTCACCCTCTCCAGCTCCAGGGTGAAGCTCTGGTCCCAGGCGTTGGGACCACACGGCTTCCAGGACGTCTGCCCCACCACTGTGTTATCCAGCTTGAGCACAGTGCTCACCTCACCTGGAACAGGGGTTGGGGTAGGCTGTCAGGAGATTCTTGCAGGCCGAGGGTAACCTCTTGTATCTTACTAAAGAAATCTCCCCCCACAATATTCTGCTGTGCTATCTGACAAAGCTTTACAGCTCTGTCTGTCACATTAAGGCCTTCAATCCATCTCCAGTTGATTTTTGCACGTGGTGTGAGGCGGGGATCCAGATTCGCTTTTATGCTGTCTGCAAGTTCCAGCAATATATTCCTAAGTATTTACCCTAGAAAAATGCAGGCAAGTATACATCTGGAGATGCATAAATATAATGCTTATATAACAGCCCTAAATTAGAAACAGCTCACTGTCCATGAATTAATACATAAATTGTAATATAGTCTTATTAGCTAAACCATGAAATGGCTGATATTCAACTATTTTTTACCTAAAAAAAGACAGCAATTTGACATGCCTCAGTGTAAGACAACTAAACAGGGGTAAAATGAATGAACTATAGTTTCATGCAACGATAGGGATGAGTCTCCCAAACAATGTTGACTAAAAGAAGCCATTACTATGAAATACATTCTGTATGATTCCACATATATGAAGTTCAAACATAGGCAAATTAAACTACATTGTTTTGAGATGGTACATGGGTGCTAAAACTACAAAGCAAAACAAGGAAATGACAACCGTGAGGGTCAGGAGAGTAGCTACCTCTAGGACAGAGGAAGGGGCTGGAATTGAAGATGGGGCATGAGGGGGCTCAGAGAATTCTAACTTCTTGACCTGGGTGGTGGTAACACAGATGGTTACTCTATTGTTATTCTTCTTTTATTCATACTTTTAAACATGTACGTATTAGCTTTTTTCACATTGTGGTAAAATTCCCATGACATAAATTTACCATCATAATCATTTTTAAGTGTACAGCTCAGTGGTATCAAGTACGTCCACACTGTTGTGCAACCATCACCACCATCCATCTCCAGAACTCTTTTCATCTTCCCAAACTGAAACTCTGTCCCCACTAAACAATAACTCTCCGTGCCCCCCTCACCCTCAACCATTATCTCTATGAATCTGACCACTCTGGATCATATAAGTGGAATCATGTACCACTTGTCTTTTTATAACTGGCTTATTTCACTTAGCGTAATGTCCTCAAGTTCATCCATGTTGCAGTATGTTTCAGAATGTCCTTCCTTTTCAAGGCAGAGAAATATTCCATTGCATGGATGGACCACATTTTGTTTACCCATCCATCCGTCAAAAGACACTGGGTTGTTTCTACCTTCGACCATTGTGAATAATGCTGCTATGAACATGGGTATACCAATATATCTTCGAGACCCTGCTTTTAACTCTTTTGTGTATTTACGCAGAAGCGGGATTGCTGGATCATATTGTAATTCCATGTTTAATCATCTGAGGACCTGCCATACTGTTTTCCACAGTGGCGGCACCATTTTACATTTCCACCAACAGTGCAGAAGAGTTCCAATTTCTCCACATCCTCCTTAGCAGCTGTTGTTTGTTTTGTTTTGTTTTGCGGTATCCATCCTAATGGGTGTGCTGTACTAATTTTTAAGAATGTTACAAATGTGGGAAATCCAGGACCCCCCCCACCCCACCTCATCCCTCCAGACCCTCAATGCCCACTCACTGGTGTTCTCGGATTCCGCTTTGAGACTGCTCCGGCCACTGAGGCTTCCACTTCGGCTGTAAAGGCCCCGGGCTGGGCGGCTCAGGAAGGGGGTGCGGCTCTCAGGGGTCCCAGGCACCCCCACTGAAGGTGAGGGGTTCCAAGGCATGGTCTCTGGAAGGTCTCTGCAGCCCACTACACGCACCTCCAGGGTCCCTGAGAGAGGGGCAGGCTCATGACGCGGGGGGGGGTGGGTCACATCTGGGGCAGGACGAGGGGAAGGGCCTGCAGGTAAAGTGGGCGTGTGCAGAAGTGGCCAGCATGCAAGTGGGAGGTGGTGAGGGACTGTCAGGGTGAGGCAGGGGGTCTGATGCAGGGATGGCTGTGTCCAGAAGTGAGAAACATGGGACAAGGGGAGGGGTGGGTCAATCTGCGGAGGGGGTCTGGATGCTGGGGTTTAGTGACAGAAGAGAGGTTCAGGGTGTAGGCTGAAGGTCCAGGCGGTGGTGAGCCAGGTAGGACTAGGAGTCCGGGCTTAGATTCGGCAGGCTGATCTGAGGTCTGACACTGGGGCTGGGGTCTATGGTAGGGCTAGTCTGGGGAGGTAGTGGCTGAGGGATCTAAGGAGGGAGGGGCTGGCGAGCCTGGGGGTTGGAGGACAAAGGTTCAGGGCTGAGGGTTCTGAGAGCAAGGGACTGTGAGACTGGGCTGGGGGACTCTGGCTGGAGAAAAAAGGCAGGGCCATTTGGGGAGGGGTGGCGAAAGTGAGGATGGGGATGGGGGCAAGAATCCCTCAGAGGGCAAGGCGTGGTGGGAAGTCCAGGTGCATGCGGCTGTCTGCCATGGGAAATGGGGCCCAGGTCCAGAGGGTTGGGGTGAATGGAGAAGGGAGGGAACAGTGGGATGGGAGTCCAGGGTTGGGGAGAGTGGAGATCCCGGTTGGAGATCTCGGGGCTGGGGGACTCAGAGGGGTCAGGAGTCCAGAGCTGCGGGAGGTAGGGTCCGGATTGAGCGGGGGACGTCGGGACCCACCTGTGAGCGGCGCGGGCTTGCACAGGGTGCTATAATGCATGGCGGGGAAGGGCCCGGCCAGGCGGGCACTGAAGGCTGAGGACGAGGCCGCAGCAAGCTCCTCGCGCAGCAGCCGCCCCTTCGGGTGATCAGGGGGCAGCTCCCCAAGCCGCCGCTCCAGCGCCTCCCGAAGCAACCCCAGCTTCTGGTTGGACTCGGTCAGCTTCTCCTGCGCCTGCGGTGGGAGGAGCCTGGCCGGGCTGGGGGCGGGATCCAGCACGCCCCTCCCCGAGTGCAGACTCAGGCCCCTCCCCCAGACTGGCTAAGTCCTACCTGGAGCTCCTCCCTGGAAGCCCAAGCCCTCAGGCATTTGGGTCCTACCCCGGGGCTCCCTGAAAATGAGGTCCCACCCCTCGCTGAAGCCCCACCCCTCTGGGTCGACACCTCGTCCCTCACCTCGCTGACAGCCTTGCGGTCTGGGGCTTTGGCAGCGCTGAGCAGGCGCAGCACGTTCTTGGCGCCCTCTGCCACCGCGTGCTCGACTCGGAAGTGGTGCCTCAGCTCCTCGATGCGCAGCTCCATGGCCCCCAGGTCCGGACTCCCTGTGGGTGTGGGACACGAGGCAGTGAGGCTAGCCTGGGCCCAGGTCCAACCAGCCCGGTCCCAGACACGCAGCCATCTGCAGGAACAAGCACTGGCCACAGACAGACGGCCATCAATATGCATCACTTGCTCCCAAGGTGGGGGGTCATGGTGACACAGTCACACTGTCACCCACAGGCAGACGGCCACACTCCCACCCAGATGCTGTCCCTCTTTTATCCAGACGCTCTCACACCCACATGGACAGTCCCAGGGATGTAGTTAAGCTGTCACCCGGGGACAGTCATATATACAGGCACACCATTAACAAAGTCTTAGGGACGGATACATTGTCAGGGTCCCACTCCATCCCCAGGGACTGTCGCAGGGATACCATGGCAACTGGATAGGATATAGTCACACAGACACAGGGACACTTAAAAAAAAATAGTAACTTTTATTCATTGCTAATGGGAATACAAGTGGCTTTCCAATGGAGGCAGTTCGGCCATTTCTATCAGAATCACAAATGTATTTACCCTTTGATCCAGCAATCCCAGTTCAGGGATTTTATCCCATAAAAAACACCTCTGCAGGGACTTCCCTGGTGGCGCAATGGTTAAGAATCTGCCTGCCGGGATTCCCTGGTGGCGCAGTGGTTTAGAGTCCGCCTGCCAATGCAGGGGACACGGGTTCATGCCCCGGTCCGGGAAGATCCCACGTGCCGCGGAGCGGCTGGGCCCGTGAGCCATGGCCGCTGGGCCTGCGCGTCCGGAGCCTGTGCTCCACAACGGGAGAGGCCACAACAGTGAGAGGCCCGCGTACCACAAAAATAAATAAATAAATACATAAAAAGGAATCCGCCTGCAGATGCAGGAGACACGGGTTCGAGCTCTGGTCCAGGAAGATGCCACATGCTGCGGAGCAACTAAGCCCGTGCGCCACAACTACTGAGCCTGCACTCTAGAGCTCACGAGCCACAACTACTGAGCCCACGTGCCACAACTACTAAAGCCCGCGCGCCTAGGTGCTCTGCAAAAAGAGAAGCCACCGCAATGAGAAGCCCGCGCACCGCAATGAAGAGTAGCCCCCGCTCACCGCAACTAGAGAAAGCCCATGCGCAGCAATGAAGACCCAATGCAGCCAAAAATAAATAAATAAATACATTTATTTTTTTAAAAAACACCTCTACACGGTTATTCACAGCCTTCCTTCTAAGAGCAAAAGACTGGAAACAACCTCATTTCCTCCAGCAGGGGTCTGGATAAATGCATAGTGACCACCCACCCCATGAAATATAATGTAGTTGGGAGAACAGGAACAGTGTCACACAGACATCGTCACACTGTCACTCACAGGGTGACAGTGGCATTATCACTTTGTCACCAGTGTAGGCACTGGAACACACACACACACACGCTGAGGAACACACACTCTCACAAAGATGCCATCACACTGCCACATAGGGACACTGTCACAGTGGTGAGGCTATTACACAGATATATGCCTTGTCAACCCCCAGCAAAGGGACACAGTCACAGGGGCAGAGGGAAATGGTCACAAAACATAAATACCCTTATAGGACACAGTCACAGAGTGGCAAAACTCCCAGGGCTCTATCTCCAGCCCAGGGAGAATCAGAGGAACACAATCACACTGCCACATGGATAAGACATAGGGACAGGTAAAGAAATGCCATCATACTGTCACATAGGCAGGGCAGCATCACTGATACCCATAGACACAGAGATCCAATGGCATAGGGACAGGCACAAGGATACACTGTCACCCAGTTGCAGGAAACTTGTCACTCAGAGAAACAAGGTCACGGTCACCCTTATCCAAGGCTGTAGATTCCAAGGACGGTCTCGCTGTCCTGCACAATGACCTAGACTCAGACTTGGGCACTCAGACAGTCACAGTCACCCACAGCTGTGTGGCACCCACCGGGACTGCTGTCACATGTGCCCAAACAGTCATCAAGGCTTTTACACTTATGGGGACAAAATCAGGCTGTCACCAAAAGTTACAATGTCACCCAAAAGCACAGGGCCGTGATCATACCATCACACACTGGCACTGAGAAGCCCACGTAGGCATTCAAAGTACAGATGAACAACCACACAGTCACGCCGACACCTCCCCGCTACAAAGACACACACACTGTCATCCGAGTTCCAAGCCCTATTGCTATGGACTGCATGTTTGTGTCCCTGCAAAATTCATACGTTGAAACCCAACCACCAATATGATGGTATTAGTTGGTGGGGCCAGTGGGAGGTGATTAGGTCATAAGGGCGGAGCCCTCACGCATGGGACCAGTGTCCTTATAAAAGGGACCCCAGAGAGCTCCCCTGCCCCTTCTACCAGTGAGGATGCAGTAAGAAAGCAGCTGTCTATGAATCTGGAAGAGGGCTCTCACCAGACGCTGGATCTGCCGGCGCCTTGATTCTGGACTTCCCAGCCCCCAGAACAGTGAGAAATAAATGTCTGTCGTTTACATGCCCCCACCCCCAGTCTGTGGTATTGTGGTACAGCAGCCAAAATGTACTAACACCCACCAAGAGCTGACACTTACTTCTCATGGTGACACAGAAACTACCATAGTTACAGGGCAGGATATTATTATGGAGGAGCTGCGGCACCATAATATTATTATGTATTGTTTGCATGCAACCTCTGGTCCCCGTGGTCAGCATCGCTGACACACGTCAGTAGCTGATACACTGACACAATCAGTAGCACAGATAATCTTCTCTGCACACAATACATCAAGACCCTGTGACAAATTCAGGCTAACAATGGGGTTGAGACACCCCCAGGCATTCATACACTGAGACAAACAAAGAAACACACACACACCGTGGACACCCACAGTTCTACACCACAGGGGCCAACGTGACAAGGCAACCACCTAGTCCAGAGGTCCACTCATTATTTCCGTAAAGAGCCAAAGGGTAAATATTTTTGGCTTTGTAGACCACACAGGCTCTGTTGCCACTACTTGGCACTGCTGTTGTAGTGCAAAAGCAGCCTTAAGTGATAGTAAATGAATGGGCATGGCTGGGCACCAATAAAATTTTATTTGAAAAAAAAAAAAGGCGGCAGTAGCAGATTTGGTCCAAGAACCTTAGTTTGCCAATACATGATCACATGCAAATCTGAAATAGGACAAAATGGGAAACTGAGGCTTGGCAAGGGTCAGGAATGGGCTCCAGTCACATGGTGAGTCACAGCACCCACCTCCCTGCCTCAGAAAGGGACCCCTCGTGGGGCTGGGAGCTGAACTCTCCAAGGTGGAATGCAGGTGAGGCTTTTTCAGGGCAAGGGACTCACCTTGGGCCTCGTCTGCGGCCGCCTGGCTCTCCAGCTGGCAGGCCTGCAGCGCCCGGCGGAGCTGCATGCGGATGATGTCAATCTTGGTCTTACTGTCCTGCAGCATCTGCTGGGCCGTCAGCAGCAGCTTCCGGTCCTGGAGGCAGAGATGGGCCATGAGGGAAAGGCTGGGCAGATGAGGGTCTGACCACCAGTCCTGCTGTCCACATTGTGCAGGCCCTGGGTGACCCTGTGACAGAGCATTCACGTGTGGGTGTGATAACATGTGCCTCCGTGTGCTCCTGGGTGCTGATGGGAGACGTAGCCCATGGCATTTGAATCCTGGCTCTGCCGCCTAACAGCTGTGTGACTTTGGGCAAGCCGCTCAACTACTCTGGGCCTGTTTGCTCATCTGCAGGAAGGGGAGTACTAATAGCGCCAAGCAACACTGGGCTGAGAATTAAAGGAGCTAAACTGTGTGTAGGGCTCAGAGCCGTGCCTTGCACCAGCAGGCACTGTATTTGTGTCAGCTCTCAGAATGGCGTACGTGTGTAAGTGTTCCCCATGGTGGGTGTAGCCTTGACTGTAGCCACGTGGGTGAGTCCAAGGGTGACTGGATGTGAGACAGCTGCAGTAAGTGGAGTCCCGATGTTTGTGTGTGCAGATCAAGGCACAGCGATGACTGGGCATAGCCAAGGACCCCGTGCTGTGTACAAGCACCGGACACTGGTTGTGGATTTTCCCATCTACCTGGTGCTGTGTTTCAAAACCAGGCACTGCTAACCTGTGGTGAAAGAAGCCTGTGTACTGACTGAAGGCGGCAGGAGGGAACCCTTTCTGGGTGACAGGAAGTGTTCTGTATTTCGATGTGGGTGATGTGTACCCAGATGAAAATTCATTGGTCTGTACACTTAAGTTTTCTGCACTTTACGTCCATTTGTTACACATCAATAAAAGGTTAAAAAAAAAAAATTCTGCATGGCTTGTGCCCTCCCACATAATATTCACATCTGTGTGTGCACATAGGCATGGGTGCTCTCTGGGTCTCTAGCTGTAGGTCTGACTGTGCTGTGAGTGTATCTCTGGGTGTTGGTGCAAACCTATGACTGTGTGCTCAGTGTTGGTACAACTGGGGGAACACCTGTGTGACAATTCTGGTCTCTGAGTGTGAATTTAATAATGTGTGTGTCTGTGTGTCTAGGCGGTCTGTTGGCCTGTGCTGTGTGTCCGGGCGTTATACGATGGTGTGTGTCTCTCTGTATCTAGAGGTTGCTCTGGTGGTCATCCTCCACGTGTTTATGAGCATTGTTACTGATGTGACTCTAGATCTTATGACGGTGTATGTGTGTCTGTGTGTCTCTAGGTGTTGTCATGACCATGGCTGTGTCTCTAGATGTTAGGATGATGATATGTGTGCACCTAGGTGTTGATCTGCATGTACAAGTGTCAGAGAGAGACCACCAGCAGTGAGAGGCTGCATGTTGCCCTGACCATCTCTGGGGGTAACTGACTTTGGGGGGGACAGTCTCTGCCATGTGTCTGTCTGACATCACCCACAGTTACCCTGTTTCCCATATGCCCCCATGAGCTGCCCGCACCCCAGTCCTGCTGCAAAGCCACCCATCAGCCCCTCTGTCCCCAACCCAGAGGACCCTAGACTCCCAAGGGAGCAGATGTAGGTGCCACCCTGCCCCCCCCCAGACTGTATGCGCTTGTGGGTGTACATGCACACGGTGGGTGTGTACTCACGCTGCCCCTACCTTAGTGCTGCCATTGCTGTACGTCTGGATCATGTTTTCCGCCCCTTGCTTCACCTTCAGCTCGATGGCCAGCTGCTTCTCCAGGCCGGCCATGCGACTCAGGTTGGTGGCTGAGCAGGCTGGGCCGCCTGCACAGGGGGACTGGGGGGCATCTGGAGGGGGTAGATGGGGCAGAGTCACCACGGCCCTCACCTCCATCTGCCCAGGTGGTTTTGCCCCAGCTGAGAGGATCCACCCCCAGGGCCAGGGAGAGGAAGAGCTGGGGACCAGGGTCCAGAGGGCCCAACCACCCCAGCCCTCATAGGGAAACCCCTGCAGGACTGGGGCAGGACCAGCATGAATGAGCACAGGCAAGTGTCCAGGTGTGCGCTGAGTCCTTGGTGCTGGTGTGACTGTATCTACCTTCGTACGGAAGTCCCCAACTACTTACACAGCTTTGTGGGCATCCGTGGGTGTGGCGGTGGTTAGGTCTGTGACCCGCAGGGTGTTGGCATAACTGAGCGAGTGTGTGTCTCCCCAGGTGCTAGTGTAACTGTGAGATTCGAGGTGTTAGAATGACTGTGTGAGATTCTGGGTGCTGGTGGTGACTCTAGGCATATGCTTCCGACTGTTGGCACAACTGTGCTTTCTGATCTCCTGGCACTGGTACAACTGTGTCCACGTGTCTGGGTTCTGGTACAGCCGGACATGCGTGTCTCTGGATGCTGGCATGGCTCTGTGAGTCTCCAGCGAGTGGTGTGACTGTCCAGGTCACTCTGGGTGCAGCTGTGACCGGATGAGGTTTTGGGTGTCGGCTGAACTGTATCTCTGAGTGTTGACATGACAATGTTGGTCTCTAGCTGTTGACACACCTAAGTGGTATATGGGTGTTGGGCTAAGTGGTGTTGAGTCTTCAGGCCTTGTCCGATTGTGTATAAGTCTCAGGCTGTTGACAGGTCGGTTGACGTCTGTAGGGGTTGGGCAGCTCTGTGTGTGTGTGAATCTCTGGGGGTTGGCGTGAGCATGTGCGAGTCTCTGGGTATTGTCTGTGTGTCGGTGTGACTGTGCATGCATTTCTCTGGGTGCTGGGTGCCAGTATGCAAGTCTCTGGGAATTCATATGATAGTGTGTATGCCCTTAGGAGTTGTCTGGGTGCTGGTGTGACCGTGTTGTGAATGTCTCTGGCTACTGATGTGATGTGTGTTACACCTTTGTCTTTGGTTGCAAGATGAAAAAGTTCTGCAGATCCCTTGCACGATAATGTGAATCTACTCAACACCACTGAACTGTACACTTAAAAATGACGAATTTTGTTATGTGTTTTTTGATCACAATTGAAAAATTTTTTAATCAATAAAAATTAAAGATATTTTAGAAAGAGTCTTTGGGTGTTGTCCGGGTGGTGGTATGACTCTGTGAGTCTGGATATTCGTGTGACCCCGTGTAAGCCCTTTGGTGTTGTCCAGGTGTGGGTGTGACTGTGTGTACCTTTCTCTGGGTGTTGCTTTTGGCCTTTGGTCTGCCTGTATTTTGAGGCTCGGTGCTGTTGTGACCGAGTGTGTCTCCCTGGAGGTCAGAGGCGATGGGCTGGCCTCGCTATAGGACACAGCCAGTGAGCCCTGGGCAGTGGAACCCCCTGCTGTCCCGCATCCCCGGGGAAGCCTGGCTTACCGTGCACGCCAGCCGCGGGGTCGGGCAGCACCACATGGGCGTGCAGCTCCTGCAGCTGCTGGTGCAGCAGGTCGAGTCTGCGCGAGGAGCCACGCAGCACCAGCTCCACGGGGCCGAGGTTGCGGCCCAGGTCGGTGGTGGCCCGCCGCAGGTTCTCGGCGCCCTCCTTCAGCTTCAGCTCCTTGCGGATCTCCCGCCGCAGCCGCTCCCGTTCCAGCTCCAGCTGCTGCTGCACCCCGGGGGCTGCCAGGTCGGCACCCGCCAGGCCCAGCTGCTCCAGCAGGGACCAGCTGCGTGGCTCGCTCTGCGGAGGACGGAGCAGGGTCAGTGGGGCCAGGAGGACTCTGGGGTGCAGACCGTGCTCAGCCAACCTGGCCTGGCCCCCTCCCAGACTGTAACTCCTGACACAGGGCCGGCTCTACGTCCTCTGATCGGCACCGCCCCGCCCCGCCACCAAAAGTGGGAGGTGAGGCAAGGCCCTGTCCCTGCTTTCAGACATCCCCAAACCGCGAAGTCCCGAGGGCAGGGGCTTCTCCTTCCCTGTCCCCTCAGACTAGGGGACCACAAATACAGTTCAATCTCCCTTCATCTGTCCTTATGCCAGTGGGATTCTTCAGGTCAGATCCCATCACCCCACCACTGTGCCCCCCAAGCTAGGGGGTCCCCAAGGACGGGCCCTATCTCCCTTCCATTGTCCTCCCAAATTAGGGGGTCCCAAGAACAGGCCTTGTCTCCCTTCTGTTGCCCCCCAAATGACAAGATCCTGAGGGCAGACCCATTTCTCTCCTCTGCTGCCCCCCTAAACTAGGAGGTCCCAAGGGTAGGCCCCATCTCCACTCCCCTATCCCCCAAATTATGAGGTACTGAGGGCGGGTTTCATCTTCCCTCTGCTGCTCCCCAAACAAGGAAGTATGAAGGGCAGGCCTCTGATGCCCCACCAAACCATAAGGTTGGGGTCCTAGGCCCCTTTTCCTCGCTGCTGTGCCCTCAAACTAGGAGGTACTGAGGGCGGGCCTCACCTTCCCTCTGCTATACCCACGAAAGAGGAGGACACGGGGCGAGGCCTCATCTATCCCCTGCTGTACCCCCAAACTAGATCCCGGGGACAGGCCCCATCTCCCCTCCTAAACTGGCACCCGAAAGAGGAGAGCCCCCTCCCTTTCCTCCTCTATCTCCCCAGCCTGGAAGCCCAAAGGGCCCCACACAGTTTCATCTCTCAAGCAGAAAACTCCAAGTCTAACACCCCATCTCCTCCCTTCAGTCCAAAACCGAGAGGTACCGAGGGCAGAGCCTCTGGCCTGTGCCACTTGGGGCCCTCTTCTGCTGGCCCCCCCACAAGGACCCCAGCCCGCACCTCCAGCTCCCGGTCCAAAGGGGGATTGGCCTCCGCCATCCTGGGTCCCGGCTGAGGGCCCCGCCCTCTTCCTGAACCTCAGCCCCGCCAGGGCCTCTCGCCTGCGACTTCCTCTTTCCTGCTAGCTCCCAGCAACCCCTGCAAAAGGCCAGCTCCGGGCCTCTGGGGCATCTAGAGGGCCTTCCTCTCAGTCCCCACTCCAGGCCTGAGCCGGCTTCTCTGGAGGCACCCCGGGGATGGCCCCTGCTCCCTGTCCCAAGAGGATGCCCAAGGCGTACAGAGCGTGCACACATTCACAGGCCCACTAGTGTGGACATGAAGAGCAGCCTCCCCCACGTATACAGGCTCCAGGGGCTGGCTTGGGTGTGCACACACTCTCATACACCTATAGGCATGTGCACGCATCGCAGGCTAGCAAGTGTGTGCACACCCCCTGCGTCTACCCCTGTGCACACTTATATGCAAACACCCATGAGTGCTTATATGGGTGGCCCAGCCCCCTTCCTGCAGATGCAGCCTGTCCCAGCTTCCGGATTCTTCTCAGCTCGGTCTTTCGCTGCTGCTGACCACAGCTTGGAGGCCTAAGGGGCCTGGCCAGCCCAGCGGCACCTCCTTGAGGCCCACATTGTGAGGAGGCAGCGCTGGAGGGCTGGGGTGAGAGTGTCTCTATTAAAGCTCAAGTATGGTAGCAGTTACTACAAGCTGCACCCAGGTCAACTAATGCAACCCCAGGAGGTGCTATCATCACCCCATTTTCTTTCTTCTTTTTTTGGCCATGCCGCATGGCATGCCGGATCTTAATTCCCTGACTAGGGATCAAACCCATGCCCCCTGCAGTGGAAGCACAGAGTCTTAACCACTGGACTGCCAGGAAAGTCCCTATTATCACCCTATTTTCAAGATGAGGAAACTGAGGCCTGGAGCGGTGATGTAACTAGCCCAAAGTCCTACAGCCAGCAGAAGGCAGAGCTAGGATTTCAAACA